AACTTGAAAGAGTTAAGAGCCTTCTTAGGCTTCGCGGGGTACTATAGAAGGTTCGTGCGTGACTACTCTAAAATAGTCAAACCCCTCACGGGACTCACTGAGGGGTATCCTCCACTTCGCAGGGGCCGCAGTGGGAAACGAGAGGGGAGCGAGTATTTTAACACGAAAGAGCAGTTTGGTGATCGATGGACTGATGCCTGTCAGAATGCGTTTGATGATATTATTTCAAAGTTGACCTCTGCTCCTGTCCTGGGCTTTGCTGACCCCAGACTTCCGTATACGCTCCACACTGACGCTAGTACTACGGGGCTGGGTGCGGCATTGTACCAGGAGCAGGACGGGCAGATGCGAGTGATAGCGTTCGCCAGTAGGGGATTGACAAAAAGTGAGGCGAAATATCCGGCACACAAGTTGGAATTTCTCGCATTAAAGTGGGCTGTCACAACTAAGTTTAGCGATTATTTGTACGGCACAGATTTCACTGTTGTGACAGACAGTAATCCTTTGACGTACGTTTTGACATCTGCAAAACTTGATGCTACCAGCTACCGTTGGCTGTCTAGTTTGTCGACCTACACTTTCAAGCTCCAATATAGGGCTGGGAGTCAGAATCAGGATGCGGACGGTCTTTCCCGGCGTCCTCATGGTGAGCCTTTAGATGATTTGGTCTCTCAGAAAGAACGAGAAAGAATTGAGAAGTTTACACTCCATCACCTTGCAGATCCTGAAAACAAGTCTGATGTTCTCATGGCTGATGTAGTGAAAGCCATATGTGAAAGGCATCAAGTGATTAGTTTGCCTGGAAGTCTCAGTTTGACACACCCTTCTATTACATTAGTTGAGTCTCTCGCTCATTGTGTTAATGCTTTGCCAAAGGAGTTGCAACATGAGACTGAGCATGGGTTGCCTTCTCTTCCCAATCTCTCTGAGGCAGCATTGGCAGAATGGCAAGAGAAAGATCCAGAGCTCAAGGTGATAGTTGAGTGGATAAGAAATGGAACTAAGCCAGGTACACTGAGGGGTCAGCCATCTGATCTAGTATTGTGGTTGAGAGAATGGGGTCGATTTGAGTTGAAGAACGGAGTGTTGTATAGGAAGAAGCTAGAGAACGGAGTCTCTCACTATCAGTTAGTGTTGCCAGTTGGACTAAGAGACATGGTGTTGCGTAGTCTTCACGATGATATGGGGCACTTGGGTATTGAGAGGACTTTAGACTTGGTGAGGTCCAGATTCTTCTGGCCAAGAATGTCCCAAGCCGTGGAGAAGAAGATCAAGACGTGTGAACGTTGCGTGCGTAGAAAGAGACCTCCAGACAGAGCCGCTCCCCTGGTTAACATTCAAACCAGTAGACCTTTGGAGTTGGTCTGTATGGACTTCTTGTCATTAGAGCCAGACCGCAGTAATACCAGTAACATATTGGTTATTACGGATCATTTCACGAAATACGCAGTAGCAGTACCGACCCAGAATCAAACGGCTCATACAGTTGCGAAGTGTTTGTGGGAAAACTTCCTGGTACATTATGGGTTTCCCGAAAAGCTACATAGTGACCAGGGACCGGATTTTGAATCCCGTACTATAAAAGAGTTGTGTCATGTAGCAGGTATTCATAAGATTCGTACTACGCCTTATCACCCCAGAGGTAACCCGGTAGAGCGTTTTAACCGGACACTTCTCCAAATGCTAGGAACGCTAGAGAATGAGAAGAAGTCTAGGTGGAAGGAGTTTGTAAAGCCCTTGGTACATGCATACAATTGTACGCGTAATGATACGACAGGGTATGCTCCTTATGAGCTTATGTTTGGTCGTCTTCCTCGTTTGCCTGTAGATTTAGCTTTTGGATTGCCAGCAGAATCTCCAGCTAAATCTCACTCTCAGTACATTAAAGATTTGAAAGAACGGTTGCGAGAGAGCTATGAAATAGCTAAGAAGAATTCTGCTAAGATAGCAAAGCGCAACAAGGGAAGGTTTGATAAACGTGTGATTGATTCAACTTTGGAAGTGGGTGACAGGGTTCTCGTGCGCAATGTTAGGTTGCGAGGAAAGCACAAGCTTGCAGACAAGTGGGAGCAAGGAGTTCAAGAAGTGGTTAAGAGAGCGGGAGACTTACCGGTGTACACTGTCCGACCAGTTGGGCAGAGTGGTCCCCTCAGGACATTACATCGTGACTTGTTGTTGCCTTGTGGATTTTTGCAGCCAAGTCAACATGAGATACAGCCTAAGCAAAGGGGTCATAGGCCCAGGACTAGAGCCTGCTCAAATGATAATGATTCACAAGTGCCAGAATCTGAGTGTGAATATGAGTCTGACACTGATCGGTTCATTAGTCCTACATTTAGGGATACATTGGACTTTGAAACCCGAGTTTTGATGAGGCCTGAGTACTTACCCTGTCTAAATCCTTGTAACGTTCCAGCTGATTTACCTGTGGATGAGCCTGTGAGGGAGAACTTACCTGAATCTGGAGAAGCAGAAGTTCCTTCTGTTAAAATAGAACCTGTTCATGTTGATTCAGAGATTCCAATGAGAGAAGATCCAGACATTGATTCCTGTTCTGTGTTTCCGTTTCAGGGAGCTGAAACAGAAATTAGTTGTGAAGATGAGAACAGAAATGAAGAGAATCTAGTTTTGACCGAAGCTAGAGATGTTGAAGGTTCTCCAAATGAACGAGAGAACAACACAGAGTTTGAAGAGGGAGCTATTCCCAGACGTTCACAGAGAGAGCGAAAACCTGCAAAAAGGCTTGAATATCCCCAGCTAGGGAACCCACTTACCGTAGTGATTCAATCTCTGTTGCAGGGTTTAAGTGTGGCATTCAGTACTGCCTTAGAGGAAGTAAATGCTTCCTCTGTTGATGTACCTGAGGTTTTGATTCAATCCCAAAAATGTGTAGATGCAGCGGGACGTGCATGTATTCAAGAGGGGAGGGTGTAACCCAGGTTACTAAATATGTTTTATTTTTTTTTTATTTTATTTTATAGAAAAGAGACTGACACTTATGTGAATAAACAGTTATTTTATTAAATATCTGTAAAGAAAAGAGAAAATAAGGATGCATAAATTAGAGTAATTTTCAATTAGTGAGACAATGATTGGTCTTCACGGACGAATCAGAGTTGGCCGCCTTAGTGGGTGGAGTCATCAGAGTCGAGAGATGATGCAATGATCATTTTCGGGAAGAAGCAGAGTGAACGCGATCTGAGAAGAGAAAGAAGATTAAAATGAGCGAGCTAGTAGTTGTTAAGAGAGATTGAGAGTTATAGAACACAAAGATTTTGAGAAATAGAATCTGAGCTTGATACTGTGATAATTGATTTTGAGTTGAAGTGAAACTAGCTTTTTGTACGTGCATTGAAGTACGAGCTTAAAGCTGAAAGAGCTGCCGCGAACTTTTTTCTAATTGATATTAGAGTACTCTTGGTAAGTGAAGTTTCTGTTTTATTGTCATTATTAAGGTTCTCATGTATAAATATCTGATAAAATGTGTTCAAAATGCCAAATATGTGTTATATTTAGCTAAATTTATGTAAGAGTCAACCTTCTGAAAAAAAAAGGGAAAAATAATAGAAGATTTCTTCATAAATGTGTCAAATGAGTGATATCATAAAGGGAGAAGTTATTTTTGATGACTTGTGATATGTAAATTTGTAGTTTTCGTCGAATAACTGAGTTTGAGAAAACAAATGTGTGACGCACGTGTAAATTGAGCAGATGTGGCCTAGCACGTCATTTGAAATCCTGTTTTTGGATATAAATGAGAAGTTAATGTGTTAATATTATATGAAAAGAGAAGTTTGAAATGTTAGTAGTTGAATTTATTGATATTAAGTGTGGTAATATGTGAATTTTTGAGGAAAGTGCCTAATTGTACATTTGGCCTTGTTTTTTTTCAAGGTTGGGTTTTTTTTTTCCCCCCTTTGGCTTTCTATTGTTTTTTTTCTTTCTGGATTTTCTTTTGGTTTCGTCTGATATTCTTTAATTGCTGAGTTTGGATGCTGATCGAGGAAGCTGCACGTGAAATGTCCCTGCTTCGCGGCGAAAGTTGGAGAGTTGGTGCAAGCAGGAACTGGCGAGCCATGCCCAAATAAGGATCGAACTACAAATCGAACTGTGAATAGTGTGGTAGGATCGAGCACAGGTTTTCTCTTCCTTTCCTTACTGAACTGTAAGTTAACTTGAGTTGCGGAAGAAGGATCTCGTGAAGGAACATTGAACTGGAGCTGAGAACTGGTACAATCTCATATCACATTGAGATTTCTGTGAGCACTGAGACAATTGGACATTTATTTTCTTTATTGTTATTTTGCTTCAATTCTATTATTGTGATTTTTATTTTTTTCCATTTATTAAGTGTTCATAATTTTCATTTTGGGTAATACGAGTGAACTGAAAGGTAATTTGAAAGATTTGAAATTGAAAGAAGGGTTACATTTAAATCAGACCAGAGGAGAAAAGTATTCTTAATATAAATAAGTCAAATTAGGAATAACTCAAATAATTAACAAAACCTTATATCTTACTTATACCAAAATAAAAGTTAAACAGGTGAAATCAGATTTAAAATTAAATAGGAAGTATTAATTATAATAGATAAAAGTAAGGCAAAAAGGGGTATAATTAGGATTTAAATAAGAGGGATTTATTTCTGGTTTATTTTTCTCTCATCGACGGTTTGTTTAATTTTTATTGTCCGTTTGAATATTTTCTTTTTTGTTTTTAATTGCTTGTTGCTCTTTCCAAATACAACATACCTGTTTTTTTCCTCAACCCAAACAGTGTGTCCCTGTGGTTCTTTGCTGCTAACACGGTCTCTCGAGCGAATTCTGATCTTCTGATCGCTGGTCCATAGATTGAAGCAGTGTCTTCCCTCACGCCCTCTGTGTCTTACTGAGGAGAGCGAGGGTAACACACTTGCCACGAGACAGGTTACAATAGCAATGGTACAAAACAGATATTTTTCCAGTGTATAGCCAACTGTTCCTTAACGCTGAGTCCTGCAGGCGGCGTGTTCTTCATCCAGGAGAGTTTTGTTCTTCAGCATGCGGCGGCCATCTCGGAGTGGACGTTCGCCATCATCGTTCTGCTGTTCTACAGCTCGTTCTCACACGAGTTCAGCTCCATCTCTTCAGAAACACTCGTGGCTCTCATGACCAGACGCAAACTAGAGAAAGTCTGACGTGTGAACATGATTATATAGAGAGAAGATGAGGATTAATGTGCAACCTGGTGGAAAAATCTTTATATTAGCTACACTCCTGCCTTGTTAGTGACGGTTCTGTCCTTGCATCGAAGCTTTAATCTTTCCATTGCACTAATGGTTCTTTATGAAAATGTCCTAAGTGTTTATGGTGAACTAAAGTTTAAGTGCCTAATAGCAAAGTGTCTTAATGTTCAGTTAACAATAAAAAATAAAAAAAAAAGCGGTTTGGTTGCATTGTATTGGCAACATATTTACCACTTTTATTTGGTAAGAATTCTGTGATATTTATTTAACTTGTTTAAAACAAGTGCATCTGCTCAAAAACAAGGTTTGAAATTGCTTGAGTTTCTGACGTCACAAACTACCTTGTAACCAATCAGATCAATGTGTGATCGTCAACGAGTGAGTGAGTGGAGACGGGGCTCATCTGCATACAGACCATTTTGCAAGATAAACAACAGAAACACTTCCTCTTCCAGTTTGTAACTGTTCTCTTTATTTCACATGTAAAGAAAACATCTTAAAGATGTTTGTTTAACTTTCTGATTCAGTTTTATATGTTCTGTTGGTTGTATTTTATCCCAGCTTTTATGTAGTGTTAAAAAACTGAAACAGGAAGTGCTTCTGGACCAGTGTTGTTTACATCTTGCAAAATGGTCTATAGAACTTTTTTCAGGGAAAACTCTAAATATGTAATTTTGGTGCTCAAAGATGAGTTTTGAGGGATAAAATGATTGACTACAGAGGACTTTAAATTTAGGCGGTTTCACTTCACAACCAGAATCCGCTCATTGTTCTTCTTACTATGAGTGACGACACGCTGACCGTTCCAAGATGGCGGGCGCGCCGACGTGTCTTGAGCGGTTGAATGTAATTTCTACATTGACACATTTCACTTCTGTGCCGTTACCATGGAGATTGTAAACGCAGCACAATTGAAAATACAAACACATGTCTTCGCTTAAATATTATCGCTAAGACGTCACTTCACGGCGGGTTGGATAAATAAGCGCAGCAAGTGTTAGCCGTGTAATAGGCTGATTGTGTGGTTGTTAATGAGATGGACTCTCAGTACGTGAGCAGGACTCTGGGCCGCTGTCTCTCCGAGGCTCTCGCCGAACTAATCGAGCTCCGACCGCTGGATCCCATCGAGTTCCTGGCGCTCTGGATCCGCAAATACAAACACAACCAGGAGCTCGAGCTGCAGGTCTCACACACACACACACACACACACACACACTGCCCTTATCTGTGTTGTAGATGACAGTCTTCTCACATAACAATCAACTAACTACTAATGTGCTTATGTATGTTTTCTTAATATAGTTTAGTACAGTGGGGTTTATGGATGCTGTTGTTCGTTGGGAGTTTTTGAATGTAAATATCCCGGATCATAATAACCCGTCCTGTGTGTTCAGAGAGCCGCTCATCAGAGAGAGCTGGAGGAGGAGAAGCGGAGGGTCCATGAGGAGAATCTCCATCAGAGAGAGCTGGAGGAGGAGGAGAGCCGGATCAGAGCCGCCGCACAGGTGTGTGTGTATGTGTGTGTGTGTGAGAGAGAGAGAGAAACAGAGAGAGAGAGAGAGACGTTAAAGGGATAGTTCACCCAAAAATGAAAATTAGCATTAAATATTAGAAAGATTTACTCTCCCTCAACTCATTCTAGGTGTGTATGACACTCTTCTTTCAGACGAATACAATCAGAGTTATATTAAAAATTGTCCTGGCTCTATAATGGGAGTGAATGGCTGTTTCAAAGTCCATAAAAGTGCATCTATCAATCATAAAAGTGCATCTGTCCATCATAAAAGTGCATCTATCAAATATTCTGAACATAGTTCATATTTAAGAGCAAATATTCTGCATAATCATATGTTCTGTTGTGTTTCGACAGCATGTTCCTGAATCAGCAGACGAGAGCAAACCAGATCTGCGTGAAGATGAGGTGTGTGTGTGTTTCTGCTTCACACTTTCTACTCTCATCCTTCTCTCTCTCTCTCACACACACACACACACAGGTATCATCAGAATAAGTTCATATAGTTTAATCTCTCCAGAATGCATCTTTAAGTGTGTTATTCCTGCAGAGAGAGAGTGCAGCCGATCCGCCAGAGAGAGCGAGCGAGCCGCAGGATCAGGTGATCGATCACGTGATGAAGAGACTCAATCAGAGAGGTTGGTAAACTACAGCTGATCAGCTGATCTGTGCTCTCCCTCATCAGGAGGATCAAACCTCGGAGAGCCTGAACCCTGAGGAGGAGCTTCATCCAGAGGACTCTCCGGTGAGACACACACACACACACACACACAGTTTACACATCACTCCTGATCTCTGAAGAAGCTGCTGGTCTCCAGAGCGCAGGGAATGAAGCAGACGATCCTCCTGAAGAAAAGACAGAAGACGACACGACCGAGGGACCGATGGAGAGAGTGAGCATTACATCGTCCACTTCTTTATTTACACACACACACTCACACACACACACACACAGTTTACACATCACTCCAGATCTCTGAAGCTGCTGGTCTCCAGAGCGCAGGGAATGAAGCAGACGCTCCTCCTGAAGAAAAGACAGAAGAAGACACGACCGAGAGACCGATGGAGAGAGTGAGCATTGCATCACACACACACACACACACACACACGAGCAGCAAACCCGTCGTGTGACAGTGACTCTAGAGTCGAGAACATTTAGAAGAGCAATACTACAATCCTACTATTCCAGAAGTGTTTCATACCTGACAATAACAACCTCTACAAAATGTGTTTATATATATATATATATAATTATAATTATTATATAATTATTTTGTATGTATAAATACACTCACGTGCATGTATATATTTGAAGAAAATGTGTTATTTATAAATCAAATATTTATATATATATATAATATATCGATTTTGTACAAATATATGCAGTATATACAGTACATACGGAGGCGTATTGCATTCACTTGAAGAAAAAAAATCTACTCTGTTTTTCTGAATTAATGAGTTAATTTTTCATGAGAAAATTTATTTTTGCTGTTTTTCTGAATTAATTCAGAAAAACAGAGCAAAAAAAAAAAATTCCATTAAAAATTAACTCATTAATTCAGAAAAACAGAGCAAATTTTTTTTCTCATGAAAAATGAACTCATTAATTCAGAAAAACAGAGCAAATTTTTTTTCTCATGTAAAATTAACTCATTAATTCAGAAAACAGAGCAAATTTTTTTTCTCATGAAAAATGAACTCGTTAATTCAGAAAAACAGAGTAGATTTTTTTTCTTCAAGTGAATGCAATACGCCACCGTATATACATGCAAATATTTCTTAAATATATACATGCATATGTGTGTTTATAATATATATATATATATATATATATATATATATATATAATTAAAAAAACGTTTACATGTTACACATTACAGAAATGATGTAAAGACCAACTTTTATTTTGGATACATTAATCTTTACACACTAGCGACACCTTCTGGTCAAAATGGTGTAAACGCACGGACGACCTTTTATAAACCTCTTGCAATGAAATGCTGTCCAGAAATCATCAAACACTGTTAGATATGATGTACAGTAAGTGCTCTTTTATTCATTTGTCGGACATGTTTTGCATGTTTTTATGGACGATTCACTTCTACTGTTTTATACACTCTTTCAAAGCTCCTAAATCAACCCAAACACAGGCTTCGTTTCTTTAGTGCTCAGTTCGGTTTATACGTCTTCTGATTCTGAAGTGAAATATGATTCAGACATTTTAGTGAGATTCAAGTTTATTTATTTCACACATTTCATACGCAACAACTCTAAAATGATTTTAAAAAGTAAGCATAAGAAGATATCAAAGTAATGTGTGAATAAAAGAGAAGATGATAGAGATGTGACGTGTGTGTGTGTGTGTGTGTGTGTGCAGGAGGAAGATGAGGAAGACGACAGAGCCTAAACGACAAAACCCAACTTGTTTCATTATTAATCTCTGAATTTGCCAATTCACAATTATATGCATATTAATATTAAACTATATTTATGCCAACTGAACGTTTCTGTTGTGTGTTACATTCTTCACACAGTCTTCACACACACACTAGTACTAGTCATGTGATTTACATTTCTGTCTTAAAGTTAAATAAATCAAGTGTGTTTTTTTCCATGATAAAGCCAAAGAAGCTGAGACGTTTAAAAACTAAAAGTGTGTGTGTGTGTGTGTGTGTGTGTGTGCAGGGAGGCGTCTGAGTGAGTGTGGGAATTTGATTAAGCAAAAGTAGTGATGAATAATGAAACACACTTGTGTTGTTCTGGGAAGATGTGAAAAAGCAAACAAACCACCCGAATGCCATCGAGGTTTCCCAGAAGTCATTGCAGCGCTGAGGTCTCGAGAAGCTTTGATAAGTGTGAGTAATCTGTGCATGCAGAGCAAAATGTTTCTGTGCCGGAGGTCAATCTCCTCGACTCTTGCACAATGCTGGATCCAGATCAGCGTTCACGGGCGTTCAGCTCCATAAGAGCTCACACACACACACACACACACACACACACACTCACTCACTGGAGGAGTTATGGAGCTGCTGACCCGAGTCTTCGGTTCTCTGGCTCTGACCTTCACCGAAGCGTTACGATCTCTCACTGAACGCTTTCTCACACAACCTGTGTGTGCAACTCTCTCTCACCTGGGGGAGACCGACCTCAGGACGCTGGACGGAGGTGAGTGTGTGTGTGTGTGTGTGTGTGTGTGTGTGTTATCTCCAGTAAATATATGAAGTCAGTTCTCCTCAAATTGACAAACTGAATATAAAGTATCATCTGTTTTATTCAGGTATTTTTCTTAAAGGAGTAGTTCACTTTAAAAAAAAACTTTTGCTGATAATTTACTCGCCCCCGTGTCATCCAAGATGTCCATGTCTTTCTTTCTTCAGTCGAAAAGAAATGAAGGTTTTTGATGAAAACATTCCAGGATTTTCTCCATATAATGGACTTCAATGGGGTCCAAACCGTTCAAGGTCCAAATGAGAGTTTCAGTGCAAACTGTTCAAAGGACTTTAAACGACACCAGACGATGAATAAGGGTCTTATCAAGTGAAACGAGTGGCCATTAAAAAAATAAATAGCAAAGTTTAAGTTTTATAAGCTCAAATGCTCGCCTTGCTCTGTTCTGTGATGCGCGTTCGTGACTCTCCTGTTCGAACTCGTTCATCAAAATGAACAAATCTTTTTCTGAGTCATGACTCGAAGTGTCCTTGATAAGACCCTTATTCATCGTGTGGAATCGTTTACAGCCCTTTGAACAGTTTGCACTGAAACTCTCATTTGAACCGTTTGGACCCCATTGAAGTCCATTATATGGAGAAAATCCTGGAATGTTTTCATCAGAAACCTTCATTTCTTTTCGACTGAAGAAAGAAAGACATGGACATCTTGGATGACACGGGGGCGAGTAAATTATCAGTAAACGTTTTTTTTTAAATGAACTACTCCTTTAAGTTTCGAGCACAGACTCGTTTAGTATTTGAGGTTTATCTTTAGTTTTGTTGTAAACGGCTCAGATTCAGATTCAGATTCAGATCTCCACATCTGATGTTTTAACAGCCTCATGACACTCAGATTACAAAACCGCTTTATTTCAAGTCTTGCTGAAACTCTCTCTCTCTCTCTGAGATTTTGTAAGAGTGTGTGTGTGTGTGTGTGTGTGTTTGTCCCGTGATCTGCAGATGATCGAGTGTTTAAAGCCAGAGAACTGTGGGAGAGTTCAGGAGCCGTTATCATGGCAGTGAGAAGACCGGGATGATTCCTGTGCAGAGAGGTACACACACACACACACACACTAACCCGACCCCTAAACCTACCCATCACACACACACACACACGATTATGGAATATGCAGTTTGTTACAATTGTTACAGCACATTTCTCAATGCTTGGGCCACTAGACAGAGTGTAGACAAAGTGTGTGTGTGTGTGTGTGTGTGTGTGTGTGTGCAGGAGGCGTCTGAACTCTCCTCTCTGAAGGCTCAGTTAGATGTCAGTGGTGTGTGTCTGTTCGCTGTGGTGAAGGAGAACATCGGCTCAGAGATTCGGCACTTCAGACCGTACTTTACTGGAGAGATATTCCTGGATCAGCAGGTGATCAGACCTCACACGTCAAACACAAACACGAGTCTCTCTCTCTCTCTGAAGCAGTGTGTGTGTGTGTGTGTGTGTGTGTAGAGAGGGTTCTTCGGGCCTCAGGAGCGCTGGATGGGCGTCTCTGGGTTCCTGAGATCTGGCGTGTGGAGCAGCGGATGGAGGGCGTATCAGAGAGGATTCTGGGGGAACGTGAGCGGCGAAGGCTTCATCTTGGGTGCGGTTTATGTCATCGGACCTGGTCAACAGGTGTGTGTGAACACACACACACACACACACACTCACACACTCCTCCTCACATGTGCAAACACTAATTGCTTATGAACACCAGCCAATCATGGCTTTAGAATAGGCCCATAAAAGGTCAAAGGTCGAGTTGTGTTTTCCGAACTGTGTAATACTGTATTCATAACCACTAATGCTCACAGTAAAAATAGAAATAGTTTAGTTTCAATCTTGCTTTCATATTTACCATGAGTTTTTCAACATCTCTGCCAATTACCTTCAATCTTGTACAGAACTGTACTATTATGCATTATCTAATCAATAAAAATGTGGCAACATATTACAAGCAATATTATTAATTAAATTGTACTAATTAGAATGTTAATTTGATTAACTATTACTCAATTCTAATTTGTTCAATTGAATAAATAATATTGCTTGTAATCTGTTGCCACAATTTTATTGATTAGATAAAGCATATTCATTTTTACAGTGTAGGTCAGCTTTAGCTTCTGAATAACTGTGTTTGATATATCCAAAAATATAATATTATGGTTAACGAGTTTGCAACGTAACACAGATGTTTGCTCTTGAGATGATTGTGATATTTTGAATGCAGTGCTTCATTTAGCCGGAGATTTTCTGTGCGATTCTTGGATCTGTCTGTAAAGTTTTGAGGAAAAAACTAGGCAAAGTTTTAAAAAAGTGTGTAAAGCAGATGACAAAAACCTGTACAAACATCTTCATATGTGATTCTCCCGCAGGGAATCCTTCTGGAGCACCGAGAGATGGAGTTCGGGGATAAAGTCAACAAGTCGGACGTGATTCAAGCCGTTAAACAGATCAAAACTGAACTAAAATAATCCCACACACACTCAATGAAGCGTACATGTGTGTGTGTGTGTGTGTGTGTGTAGTTGATGACAGACTGACTCTAAACTCAGATGAGGGGTTCGTCTCGATGGTTTACGCACACACACACAAACCTGTATCCCTGACAATAAACACACACTTCTGAACGCATTTCTGTATTTTGAGTTTTTTCCTTATTTTAGGGCCTTTAAAAGTGAGGTGTTAACACTTAATTAAATAAAAGAAATAAATGTTACATTTAAAAAATATCTATAAAAATATAATAAGCAAAAAGAAAGTAAAGGAAATGCTTTCTAAAAAACGTAAAATATTTCTCAACAAATATTAATATGTGATTGTGTTGATTATTATTAAATAATAATTTAAAATCTCAGGAAATGTTTGAGCTCGAAGGGCTGGCAAGATTCGCTGTTTTATTTTATTTCTAATCCTCCTACATTCTGAGATTAGTCCAGACAATAACATTAATTTAATTTATCAAACAGTTTGACAGGAATCCGAGATAAACCCGAGGTCACGTGTCGTTGTGTTCTCCCTGCTGATTGGTCAAGCGTGTGTTACAGTGCTGTATATGAAGCGCTGATGATGACCACACCATCATAACCACAACACTGAGAGATCTGCTGCAGACAGTAAGTGAACTGTAGAATTAATGATTTCTAATGTCTTCTTCTTGCTTATTGATTCGATTTGGTAAATACTGGGAATTATGAGTTAACCATTATAATCTCACATAATGTGAGGCGATCACGGATATTTCCCAGCTGACGTTTGTTTAAAGTTATCTGGTCTTTCATAATGTTCTCAAAACATCGTTCATTCATGTTTATTTTTTGTAAACGTTTTAGTTGGACATTCGTGTAACGTTTTTAAATGTAACAGCTGGTCTTAGAACGTTCAGAGAAGAAATGTAACACTTAATGTTTGAAGAATGACGGGATGGAATGTTCCTTTAATGTTTAAATAACCAAGAACAAAAAAAAAACCAAAAAAAATTTTTTTGTCGGTTTTGTTAGATTTGGTTTTTGTATTGATGCTTTTGCTTTGGCAATATGTTGTGTAAATTAATCATGTCAGTGAATCACTTAAATATTTAAATCTCTCTCTCTCTCTCCCTCTCTCTCTCTCTCTCTCTCTGTTGGTTTCAGTTATAATACAGACAGTTTTTACAAAAAAAACCAAAAAAAAAACCCATGAAATTCTCGAAGGATGAAGTGAATGTTTCTTTCCCTGTGTTTCTTCAGTGTTCCTGCAGGATCTGGAGGGTGTGTGTGTGGTGTGTGTGTGTGTTGTTGCAGCTTATGTTCTGTTGGCCAACACGGATCTGTTTCTGACCCGAGCGGACCCGACCGATGTGGACTCGCTGGCCAGAGCTGATCTCATATCCACCACCGGAGGTGAACACACACACACACACACACACACACACACACTCGTCCACAGCTGCGTTATCTTCAAGCACATTATCTTTTCTTAGTATTTTCCATTTGGATTTATAGGGTACAATATGACCAGCATTTGTGAGATTCTCCCTAATCTGTACAGCGACTTTACTTTGTGCTAAACACACTGCAAAAAAATAATATGTTCTTTTTCAGTGTTTCTGTCTAACATTCTTAAATCAAGATATATTTACTGAAGACATTAAGTCTTGTTTTCTGAAAAATGTGTCAAAATCAACACACATTATGTTTAAAACAAGAAAAATATTTTCCACTATTAAATTAAACCAGTTTAAAGTGAAAACATGATTATTTTTTGACTCCATTGCCTGATATTCGTTCTTGTTTTCAGAAAACTCGTTTATTTTGACTCATTGACTCGCGCTGCATCTTCATTTAAGAATGTTTCGATATTTGTGCTGGAAAATTAGACAGAAACACTGAGGAACAATGTCATTTTGTGAGTTTTTCGTTGTTCATGAATCTGTAATTTACCAAATGAGCCCGGCGTTCACTGTGTGTGTGTGTGTGTTTCAGATGAGGAGCAGAGCTTTAAGGCTGGCTCTCTGTGGCAGCGAACCGGGGCCGTTATTCTGGCTGTCAGACGACCTGGATGATCTCTGTGCAGAGAGGTGTGTGTGTGTGTGTGTGTGTGTGTGTGACTCATATTATCACATGAATAATCACACAGGACTTACAGTACAGTGTGTGTGTCTCTGTGTGTGTGTGTTTGCCTGTGTCTCTGTGTGTTTATTTCTCTATGTGTGTGTCTACGTGCATGTGTGCGTGCATCTGTCTGTGTGTGTGTGTGTGTGTGTGTGTGTGTGTGCAGGAGGCGTCTGAACTCTCCTCTCTGAAGGCTCAGTTAGATGTCAGTGGTGTGTGTCTGTTCGCTGTGGTGAAGGAGAACATCAGCTCAGAGATTCGGCACTTCAGACCGTACTTTACTGGAGAGATATTCCTCGATCAGCAGGTGATCACAGTTCTTTAACCCTTTAGACATTTGGGAGTTTGTTGTCGGAATAAATTAAGCAAATGTAGTTGAAAAAGCTCAGATTTTTTGGAAAGTGTTGGAAATAGCCCATCAACTCTCACTGTATGTTGTAAATAATTATATATATATTTTATATCATATTTTGGGTATACTTTTCATTTGTTAACTTGAACAATACTTCTGTTATTATGGCTCTGATGTTTCAGATGGTCTTCTACGGTCCGAGGCGGAGGACGATGAGGCGTTTGGGAATCGCTCGGGTTGGAGTTTGGCTGAACTTCCTGCAGGCGTGGAGGAAAGGTTACCACGGCAACAAGAAGGGGGAGGGCTTTGTTTTAGGAGGCCTTTATGTGATTGGACCAGAGAATCAGGTGATTAATAAACAGAACATATAAAATGTTAACTTTTCTCTGCAAGCTGAAAGCGTCACGACCTCTGGTCAAGGTGATCATGACCTGATGATGACTGAAACCTAAACTCTTAAATCTCTTAAACTCATTCTTAATCACTAAAATTAAATATGTAAACGTTTTTTCTTGGAAAAAAATCTTCAAGCCTTGAAAATCTTGAATGTAACTCGACACCCTCGTCTCATTTAGTATGCGTGGTTCTATGAATATGCAAATGAGCCCCGCCTCCAATCACTCGCTCACTCAGAGATCCACTGGTTGACGATCACACGTTGATCTGATTGGTTACAAAGTAGTTTGTGACGTCAGAAACACCAGCGATTTCAAACTGTGTTTTTGAGGCTGTCTTTGATTCACTGCAGTTTTAAGAAGTAAATACTCAGCAATGCTGTCCACTCATGAACATACACATGGTGTGTGTTAAAGCATGTTAAAAACACCACTTAGACATATAAACAACATTAAAAGCTGGATTTTCACCACGTTCACCGTATTATAGCTGTATCGTGTCCTAATGTGTTTGTGTTTTCAGGGAATTCTGCTGGAGCACCATGAGAAAGAGTTTGGAGATAAAGCCGATCTCTCTGCGGTCCTGAAGGCTGTCGGGAGGATCCAGAAAACAGAGAATTAGACACATATCAAACAATCTCTGATGACACATCTGTGAACGTTCAGAAATAACAAGAGATGTATTCCTGAAAGCATGTATTCATAATGCAATTTAACTCTGTGAGTCTGTGTTGTCTGAGAGTGTCTATGTGACAGACTGATCCTAAACTCTAATGAGGGGACAGACTTGATGATTTACACATCAGACCAACACACAGACAAATATGATTTTCTTTTTCCTTTTTATTTTCTTTCTATGAAACAATTTGTTACGGTGTAGATCATAGTCTATATATGCTTATGAAATATACCAAATAAAACACTTTGAAAAATTTAGTAAAAGTATAAGTATTTTGAAAGTAATCTCTCAAATGATATAAAAATAAAAAAGCGTGCACATAAAACAAATCTACACACGACAAAAATGAGTTGAAAACGAACTACACAAAATGTCACGCCTCCCGGAGAAGATTGACAGTTGTGGGATCCAATAGAAACCTTGCAGCCTTTTCAGTGCGGCCAATCACAGAGCGGGTCACGGCAGAGTGCGGTTTAGCCGCAGGCGTCAGAAATTACGATGCTCGCCTCAAGATGGAAATAAGTACTTAAACAGGTAAAACATTTCATCTTTCGGGTAAAGTGTTAACGAATGTCGATCAGAGAATTATTGTTGTTTTATAAAAGTAAGTTATATCATTCACCTGTGGCGTCTTTCACATACTGATTAACCTTAAAGCAACACGGAGCGTTTCATAGTGACGGACAGCCGTTATTCAGCATTGAAATGATCGGAGCTGCTTCTCATAGTCTGTAAGTGTTTGAACACATTAAAAACTCTCGGAATATCCACAAGTACTGGCATAAAAGTCGTTTATTTGCGTTAGTTTGTTGTCTGAGGTGAGGAATGACACCTGAGTCTCGTGAACGCGCTTGCGTGACCGCGGGATTATATGACACGAGCTGCGCGTCAACATCATCACGAGCAGAGAAGCGCGTTCATGGATGTACCAAAAAGTGCCACATCAACGCCACATTAATAATTCATAAAAGTAACAGTGAATTGCTGAATTTAACTTGTTATTGACTAACAAAACACTAATACTATTACAATACTACGTACTACTCTAAATGCTAATATCATTTTTATTTTGTTATCAAAGTGGTTTTTGGATACCATTACAGTGTACCAAAGTTCAACTGATTTTCACAAAGTTTTTGAAGCATATAAAACAGACTGTCATGTTATGTCAAATACTTTAATCATCCCTGTTAAAAGAAAAGTTTGCATATGTGTTTTTGTTGTTGAGGATCATATTTCATAATTCATACACAAACTTTTACTGCTCATATAGTCTGATATAGAGAGAATATGTAGGGAAAAACAGCTCAGTTTTATCCAGAGACTCAAAACTGAGCTAAAATTATATGATAAGATGATATTTTATGATCAAAACTCTAGTTTTAAAACATATAATGCATTGCAATACAATGATGATTGAGAGCTAATAAACCTTCCTCAGCAGCCTGATGATCATATTTCATACTCAAGATTTTGACATAAAATGATGTTTGGATAATCAAGTAAAGCTGCTTCAGTCCAGTAAGTGTTCATCTTGAAATATGATTAATATTATCAAACATAATCGGTGCAGACTCATGAAGCTCAAGCGGAAGGAGGACGTTTGTACAATTAAACTAAAATACTTAATAAAGTACTTGATAAAACAGTCTAAACTATCGGTCAGAGACAGAAGCACTGGAGGAGATTGTTTATCAGTGAAGGTTTGATCGTGTTCATGAAATATGCATGATACAGTATGCTTTATAGGGTTGATTAAAATAAAATCACGTATAAATTGAAACACTTACACTATGACTTTTAATTAGACATCAACATCAAATACAGTAGAAACTGTAAACAAAAATAAACAATATTTTCCTCTGGGACCAGCAGTGCTTCTGGTGAGTTTTGATGTATTAATATTGATGTATGTGTTTTATTAATACTGATGGATGTGTGTGTTCTGTAACGCAGGGAGCTGAGAGATCGCAGGAATCCTGGGACAAGTCGACCGTCAGGATGGAGGGTGAGACCGCTGAATAATAATTGATCAGTTGGACGATTATTTATTTGATTAATCGATTAATCGGATAAAAAAGGCCAGAGCTGTCCTTCAAACAAATGTGCCAACTCCATGCTATGAAAACAGTGAATATATCAATATCTATCCTATGTGCAAAAAAACTATAAAGCAAAAGTACAGTTTAAATCATTACATTAAAAATGAAGATAATAATAAAGAAAAAGAAGAATACAAACTAGGGCTGTTCTGCAGGAACACAGTAACCTGTCATTTCTATATCCTGTAAATATAAGAAACATCTTACTTTATATTCAATTACACACAGTTAGCCCTACAGTCACCACTCGAATTACAAATACGTAACGTTGACTTTTTAACCCTAAATTTAACGTCCATCACCAGATATTTTAGCAAAATGAATATTTTTGCGATGAATATTAATGGTCTTCCTCTGTTTGAGGAGCTCATTCAGCAAAGTCTGAAGTTTAACTTTGCATTGATGCAAAATGGAAATATTTGTTTGAATTTGTAAGATTTATGAAGGATATAACTGAAAAATGAAAGTTTAGTTCTCATTAAACAGCACAGGAAGACATGTTACACATATTTAGTATATATATAACTATATTTAGTATATTTAACTATATACTTTTGCATGATTATACTTTTCAGAGGGCCGACATTTCTGTATTTAACATCCTTTTTTTATTGATTTCATGTGAGATTTTGATTCTGAATGCCATAATCATCAAAATGATCATTTTTGCATGATATTCTAATTTTTCGAGTTTCACACGTATCCCACACCAGCTCACTCTGTTTCCTCCACTATATGTAGTTGCATTTTGATTTCCATTGAAAAGCGTTATTCAGTGTGTGTGTGTGTGTGTGTGTCCGCAGGCGAGATGCTGAGGTTGACGCTCGTCAGGAGGGATGATGATGGTCACCTGGGCTTCAGTGTGCGAGGAGGATCTGAACACGGACTCAGTGTGTTCATCAGTAAAGTGCAGAAGAACAGCGCTGCGGGTCAGACGCCACCAGCTCTCTGCATGTTGTGTTTTGGCTAATCAGGCACTGCGTTCGTATTATACAAATGTGCAGTTAAAGGATTAGTTCACTTTTGAAAAAACTTTTGCTGATAATTTACTCGCCCCCGTGTCATCCAAGATGTCCATGTCTTTCTTTCCTCAGTTGAAAAGAAATGAAGGTTTTTGATGTAAACATTCCAGGATTTTCTCCATATAATGGACTTCAATGGGGTCCAAACGGTCCAAGGTCGAAAATACAGTTAATAACAGTTTCAGATGCAGCTTCAAATGTCTTTAAACGACACCAGACGATGAATAAGGGTCTTATCAAGCGAAACGAGCAGTCATTTAAAAACTTATTCCAAAAATTTAACTTTTCTAAGGACAAATGCTAGCCTTGCTCTATTCTGTGAGGCACGTTTGTAACGTCACGTAATACGTAATTACGTTCAAAAGGTCACGGGCGACGTAGCCGGAAATACAGAATCAAAATCGTCCGACATCGTTGTTTTACCTTTTAATTCCTTTTTTTGTTAGTTTGCACGTTCAACCTATGCGTTCAACTTGTAAACACTGATTCTGTACTTCCGGCTACGTCGCCCGTGACCTTTTGAACGTAATTACGTATTACGTGACGTTACAAACGCGCCTCACAGAATAGAGCAAGGCTAGCATTTGTCCTTAGAAAAGTTACATTTTTGGAATAAGTTTTGAAATAAGCGATCGTTTCGCATGATAAGACCCTTATTCATCGTCTGGTGTCGTTTAAAGACATTTGAAGCTGCACTGAAACTCCCATTTGGACCTTGAACCGTTTGGTTCCCATTGAAGTCCATTATATGGAGAAAAATCCTGGAATATTTTCATCAAAAACCTTCATTTCTTTTCGACTGAAGAAAGAAAGACATGGACATCTTGGATGACACGGGGGTGAGTAAATTATCAGCAAAAGTTTTTTCAAAAGTGAACTACTGCTTTAAAAGGGGCGACATTATAAAACTGATCCAACAACTGAATTGAGATGAATAATGACACTATTGTCTGATGTAGAGCTGCTTTCACATTTGTTTCATAATTGACGAATATTGCAGCTAGGGGTGGGTACGATAGGTTTTCTGTTACTACAGATAATGATATAGCAGAGGCATTAATGTGAAGAGAGGAAACAAGAAAGCTAAACTGGTACTATATTTAGTTTTCTTCTGTATGGTTGAACTAAGTTTGAATGAAAGAATCCTGCATGAATCTCTGTCAACACAAGCCGACGTAAACTAGTGTTCAATGGCCAATCACCAGCACTGGATTTAAGCACATCATACATGCTGGATGCTTATTGGCTCACGACTGACGAGATTAACCCCTCAGGGTTTGAAATCTGATACTGAACGACAAGAGATTTTCAAACTCGATACACAGCCCTAATTGCAATATTTGTGTGTGTGTGTGTAGAGCTGGCGGGTCTGTGTGTGGGTGATAAGCTAGTGGAGGTGAACGGCGTGAGTCTGGAGAACATTAGCATGAGCAGCGCAGTGAAGGTGTTGTCGGGTCACGCTCGCCTCCGATTGGTCGTCCAGCGCGTGGGCCGCGTGCCGGGCGTTCGCTACACCAATGAGAAAACCACGTGGTGAGTGTCGGAATACACTGCGATATATTATATAATACATTTACATAAATGGGAAACTAGCGCTTATGTTTTTCAATATACTGCAATAAATGTATTGACCATGTATAGCTATATTAATATGTATATATATATATATATAGGAAAATATATTTTATTTCACCAGCGGTTCGGTGTCCGTGTCTGTGACTCTCAGTGTGTGTTTGTGTGTGTTCAGGGTGGATTTGATCCACCGGCGGATGGTGGTGGAGGAATCGGGCGCTCGTGTGTCGGTGTACAGCTCAGATGGAGCGCTGTGTCGAACGGTTCACCTCAATCTCTCACACAGCCAGCCCGTACTGGGACTCAACATCCGCGGGGGACGAGAGTACGGCCTGGGCATCTACGTGTCCAAGTCAGTACACACACACACACACACCAAAGAGAGAATGCTGCATGCTGGGACTTTATATGCACTGCTGAATTATTGTGGCTTCATCATTCTGTTTGAACTCTTGATTAATACTAACACTTTCTATTCTATTCTATATCTATAAAAGAATAAAAATGCATGTACTGCGTCAGATTACACTGGGAAGGGTCACAGCACTTGCATATTGTT